CCCCTTATCAAGAACGGCTGCAGTACAACGATTTTCATCCGTCCTCATTTGGTGAGATCGACAAACGAATCTCTTCTTCATGTACTTTCATTCGAAATGAAGGTCTCCCTTACAGGCTCTAGTAGTCAAGGCTTAATGACCCAAGAGAAAGTCTCTACCGGGACTGCGTAAGTCCGTAAGCAAATATGGTTGAGATGATTAGATGTAAGCCAAACGGCTGCAGTATAAAGGGAATCATCCATCGTCTTCTGGGAAGATGGGTCTTCGAATGTCTTCTTCATGCACTTTTATACGAAATGAAGGTGCCTTCAACAGTGGTATCTCATGAAATTCGTCGAAACCCAGCTACTCTTCGTGTATGCAAAAGGTTTTTGACAAGAAAAAAGAGGTAACCCAGCAAGTTTTGCTATGAGCTGGTATGAGTAAATATTTTCCAATAAAATGCCAATCGGCAGGTTCCTTTTCTCTTCTCTCTCCCTTTCTTCCCCCAGCATTTATTTATTTTTATTTAATGTTTCATTTGCTATTTTCTCGCCCATCCTCATACATCCCGTATTAGGTCATACTTGCTCTTTCTCATCTATTTCATTGAATCACCTCGCTTGTGCCTGGTCGGCAGAGTCCTTTCGGCAGTTACTCAACACACTCAACTGATTGCATTGGTGCCTGTCTCAAAGTGGACATGAATAATGTATCCTTTTTTAGCACGTGTCCCTCATTCAGACCTGCACGTGTTGGGCCTGAGCCTGTGTCCGGTGGAAAGAGTGGGCAACCAGTGGTGCTAGCCTCGTGGGCGAAGCAAAATCACGTCGACTGACGCGTCATCCGAAGCTCAGGGCACGCCTCATTTGTTCCGATGACAGGTTGGCTGTATCACTTCCATCGCAGTCCTTGCTCCCGGGTCGTCTCGCCGTCTCGCCGTCTCGCCTTCCGGCTTTTTCGGCCATCTGGCCGGGTTGAGTTGGGAGCAAAAAGCCCGGCTCACTCGACGATTGGTGCAAGTCGACTGTTTGCCCATGCGATTGGCCCTTATCCCTCGCAGACCGATGGAGCCAATGAGAAGAAGGCAGAATGCGACATCTTCACCTGTTATAAGCTTCGTGTACGCCGACAATCGGGAGTACAAGAAGTCGAGGAGCAAGAGTATGACCTCTCTGGGCTCGCATGATTATGTCATCTGCAACTTGGATAGTCAGATTCTGCACTCTTGCGCCGAGTTGGTGGACAGTAGAAGCGGGTTCTCCGACGCCTCGGAGGCGTTGGTTCGTCTCGCTAGTCCCGGCCGTTTCGACGCCCCCGAACCGGCCTACTTCCACGCGATTTCAGCCCCTCTTGTCTCGGAGCTCGGAGCCTCTTCTGCCTCGTGGCGTCCGAGAGGGCCGCGATGCGACGAGACCACGACTTCCGAGACCGGTTCGACTGGTCATCTGATGCCAGGCTCACTCTCTTTGGCGTCGTTGGTCGCCACGTCCACTGGCACCGTGGCGACCGTCGACGCCAACGGTCCAGAGGAGCTGAAGTCGAATCCCGGCTGCTCGACGAGTCCACTTTTCGGTATTTCTCCTTCGGCCAATCACCTCGACCCGGTCTACCCCCTCACAGGCTACTCCATACCAGCCCCATCTGACAACGCCTATCTCAGCCCTTGTCAACAGCCCTTCTATACACCACCAGACGACCACAGGCTCGAGGGCCGCCCAGACACGAGACCTGCCTTCGTCGACTTCGGCCACGACCTCGCCCAGGAACATGCATGCGCCTGTTGGGCCTATACAACACCTCATCTACCCTCCTTCGAGGCTTCTGAGGCCTGGACCCAATGGCCGGGCTCGTTAACCTGTCGGCATGACGACGGATCAGGCAAACTGGAGTCGCCAACTGAAGCTACGCCACAATTGGCCTATTCAGCCACAGATGAGGAGTTGAGCCGAACCTTCGTCTGGACGACTGTCTATGCTGGGCAGAACAGTATCCAACTAGAGGAAGAAGAAGATGATGATGATGATGACGACGAAGATGATGAAGACGAAGAAGAAGGAGAATCTGAGGAGGACGGAGAGGAGGAGGAGGAGGAGGAGGATGAAGAAGAGGAAGAAGAAGAGGACGAGGATGTGTCGGACAGGGACGAGGGTGGTGAGGAGGGGGAGA